CGCGCTGGTTCTCAGCACCCCGCCTCGGTGCCTTTCTTCCCAGAGGTGCATGAGGAGCTCACCAGGTCATGGACGGCACCTTTTACTGCCGGAAACTGACCTGCTGGTTCCTCCTCCCTCACCACCCTCGACGGGGGTGCAGCTAGGGGGTATACGGCGATCCCCCCGGTGGAGCGGTCGGTAGCGACACAGTTGTGTCCTAAGACCGCCTCCTCCTGACAGGGTAACCCGTCGCTCTCAGGCCTGTAGGCATTCGTCTGGTCTGACCGGCGGTGCTTTACGGCTTGTGGAGAAGCTGCCTCCGCCTTACACGCTATGGCGTTACTGCAGGTTCACCAAGGCACTGAAGGACCTGCACGAGGGGGCTACTGCTACTCCGAGAGACGAAGGGCACCGCGAGTTCTCTGGGTCGTGCGATGTCCACGACATGAGGGACGCCAACAAAGTTCGGTTCCTCAATGCCCCTGTGTCCTAGACCGGCCTCTTCAGCGACGCAGTCGAGAGCTCTGCCCAGCAGTTCTCGGCTACACAGAAGCAGACTGAGGCAATTCGTCACATCCTGCCCCGGCGGGCAGCTGCTGCCTCCACCCGTCGCCGGCCACAGCGCCCCAGCCTGCTCGTCGCCGAGGGCGGCCCCCTGCGTCCGCCCCCCTTCCCCGGTCTGACCGGCGGTGCTTTACGGCTTGTGGAGAAGCTGCCTCCGCCTTACACGCTATGGCGTTACTGCAGGTTCACCAAGGCACTGAAGGACCTGCACGAGGGTGCTACTGCTACTCCGAGAGACGAAGGTCACCGCGAGTTCTCTGGGTCGTGCGATGTCCACGACATGAGGGACGCCAACAAAGTTCGGTTCCTCAATGCCCCTGTGTCCTAGACCGGCCTCTTCAGCGACGCAGTCGAGAGCTCTGCCCAGCAGTTCTCGGCTACACAGAAGCAGACTGAGGCAATTCGTCACATCCTGCCCCGGCGGGCAGCTGCTGCCTCCACCCGTCGCCGGCCACAGCGCCCCAGCCTGCTCGTCGCCGAGGGCGGCCCCCTGCGTCCGCCCCCGTTCCCACTCCGCATCCGCAGCAGCCTCAAGCAAGCGGCGCCATGGAGCTGGGCGTAGGCAGGCCGCACCGCCCGTCCAGGCCCCCATCAAACCTGGCGGTGAGTGGAAGAGCAAGAGACCCTGGGACGGGCGACCCAGAGAGGGAGGAAGCTGCTCTTTGGGGGATGGTAAATGCACCTCTCCCTCCCCCGGAGGAGGGCCGGGTTGAGAATCTGGAAAATCTTGACGAGAGAGTGGTTTTCTCTGTCCCTGGGTCCCAGGAGGGCACGGAGAGTCGCAGACGGACCAATACCAGACCACACTCATCCTCCTTCAT